CACTCCGCCCTGGATCCACCCGAACATGTCGCTCTTCTTGCTCGGCTTGCGCTTCTTCTGTTTCCCCTTGCCGGGGGCGGAGGTCTTCGCATCCTCGGCTTCCAACTCCCGTCGTGATATGAGCCTCTCCGAGGCCGCCAGCACCCTGCCCCTGCTCGCCGCACTCAACCCTGGATGTTCAGTCCAGGTCAGATCCTTCACGGGCTTGGTAAAGATCCTCTCCTTGTCGCGCACGCTGATGACCTGGACCCGCAAAGTGGGGTCACAAGCTGTCCACGTCGTACTGTTGGACTTCCCGATCCGAGACACTAAAAGCATCACCACCCCCTGCGAAGGCCCCGTCTTGTAGTAGATCCTGTTCCACCTGCTCCACGGCGCCAGCAGCACTGACGCGCGGGTGCCGTGCACGACGATGTCGCCCGCCGACTCGTAGTCCACCTCCTCGTAGGCGTCGAACTCCTCTGCCGCCGCCCACAGTGGACGGCCCTCGTCCGCGAGGTCCCCCGCGTTCCAGCCGACGAGCGCGGCCACGCCGTACCACCACCACTTCGTGGCGATTGCCCAGGCCAGCGAGAGGGGCTGTCCTCTCGCACTGCGGTGTCAAAAATCCTGGAGGCTCGTAGATCTCGCTGGAAATCCTCGAGCCGAAACTTGAGCGGCGGCGAAGCCGAGGAGGACGAGGCAGAGGACGAGGACAAGAGGGAGAGGGACGGCACGAGAGGGGGAGCACTAGCAATGTAAAAGTGCGTTTAGTAAAACATATAATTCGGCACACCACTCACACGCTTCGTGGCCCCATAAAGGGAGCCCCACCGAAGGCTCCAGTGCTGCCGCCAGCATGCGTCACAACACACCCCTCACACGTTTCGTGGCCCCATAGGGAGCCCCACCGAAGGCCCCAGTGCTGCCGCCCGCATGCGTCCCCCACTCCCAATTCGGCACACCCCTCACACGTTTCGTGGCCCCATAGGGAGCCCCACCGAAGGCCCCAGTGCTGCCGCCCGCATGCGTCACCCACACCCAATTCGGCACACCCCTCACACGTTTCGTGGCCCCATAGGGAGCCCCACCGAAGGCCCAGTGCTGCCGCCCGCATGCGTCACCCACACCCAATTCGGCACACCCCTCACACGTTTCGTGGCCCCATAGGGAGCCCCACCGAAGGCCCCAGTGCTGCCGCCCGCATGCGTCCCGCACACCCAATTCGGCACACCCCTCACACGTTTCGTGGCCCCATAGGGAGCTCCACCGAAGGCCCCAGTGCTGCCGCCCGCATGCGTCACGCACACCCATTCGGCACACCCCTCACACGTTTCGTGGCCCCATAGGGAGCTCCACCGAAGGCCCCAGTGGCGGCGCTCACATGCGCATGCGTCCCGCACACCCATTTCGGCACATCCCTGACAGGTTTCGTGGCCCCATCATCCACCGGAGGCCCCAGTGGCGGCGCTCACATGCGTCACCCACACCCACCCAATTCGGCACACCCCTCACACGTTTCGTGGCCCCATAGGGAGCTCCACCGAAGGCCCCAGCGGCCGCGCTCACATGCGTCCCCGCCACCCATCCCGGCACGCCCCTCACAACAACAGGTTTCGTGGCCCCATAGGGAGCTCCACCGAAGGCCCCAGTGGCACCGCCCGCATGCGTCACCAACCGCACCCAGTTCGGCACACCCCTCACACGTTTCGTGGCCCCATAGGGAGCTGCACCGAAGGCCCCAGTGGCGGCGCTCACATGCGTCCCCGCCACACATCCCAGTACACCCCTCACGCGCTTCGTGGCCCCATAGGGAGCTCCACCGAAGGCCCCAGTAGCGGCGCTTACATGCGTCTCCGCCACCCATCCCGGCCCCCCCCCCCGCAGCAACATCATGTTTCGGGGACCCATAGGGAACTCCACTGGAGGCCCGAGTGGCGGCCCTCACATGCGCTTCCGCCACCCATGTCGGCACACCCCGCGCGTGTTTCATGTCCCCATAGGGAGCTTCGCCGAATGCCCCAGTGGCACCCATCTCGGCACACCCCTCACACGTTCCGTAGTCCTATGGGGAGTTCCACTGAAGATGAAACCCGCAGCTGCGGTACTGACAACTGCATATGGTTGGGCTCTTCGCCAGGCTAATTTGGAAGTGCCACGGATTCATGGGTGGATGGCGGGTAGTGAAGTTCCAGTGATTGCATTCAGGCACGATTCAGGATCGTCAAGACGCAATCTGAACTGTGAATCGCAGCGTTGATGTCCCAGAAGTGGTGCTCTGGCACAGTTCGAGACTTTCAAACGGTTGATTTCCAACGGGGCACTTCCTACAGGAAACATGAATATTGTAGGGGCCTTTGAGGAGGGAACTTGGAGAGGGGGTTATTACAATATCGTTGACGAGTCATGGGTTCACACTGGTTCTCCTCCTTCTCTTCCTCCCCCTTCTCCACCTCCTCTTCATCCTCCTCCTCCTCATCCTCCTCCTGCTCCTCCTCCTCCTCCTCATCCCCCTCCCTCCGATTACACATAACCCGCCTCCATCCTCCCTCCTCCCTTCTCAGACTCCTGATCGTCGCCAGCCTCATTATCGAAGCGCCAGGGTGGCTTGCACGAGGCGACCGAACGATCCGACAGGGGAGACACCAGCTAAGAAAACGGTGAGGGGACCAGAACGACAGTTGACTCAGTTGACCGGGGGAGCACCAAGATATCCTCCCGCCGCGGAACAACAAACAAAACAATCAACTTGTTTTACCGTGCTCGGCCGCTGGGGGCTCTCACCAGGCCCCAAAACTTTCAAGCAACGACTCGGGAAAAAAAGTGCTGGCCCTGGGGGAAGGTTGGTTCCTGGCAAAGGCGGTCTTTCGTATTGGGGTCGCAAAAACACATGCGATGTTTCATCATGTGGCACAAGGCACGTGGCAGCCCCATGCTCAAATTGTACGACGTGCGTATCCCGCACGAACGATTGCACCAATGTTTGCGTACATGTCCGAGGCCCCCGTTTACAAAGGACCCATTGGCCCGAATCCGAGAAAGGGGTCCAGACTTCTGGGGGGCCGCGCTGCGAAAAAAGTGCCGCGTCGGGCAGGTCGGGCCGGAGGGAGCGGCTGCGGCGGGGAGTGGGCTGTGGCGGCAGGGACGGAGGAGGAGGAGGAGGAGGAGGAGGAGGAGAAGGAGGAGGAGGAGGGGGGGGGGAGGAGGAGGAGGAGGAGGAGGAGGAGCAGGAGGAGCAGGAGGAGGAGGAAGGGCAACACCGGGCGGCACGGCGCAAAGGACGTGATGGAGAGAACTGCCAGCCGAAGGGCCACCCTGGGCAGCTCTCTGGCCAACCGCGGCCAGCCCTCTGGCCAGCCCAGGCTATATCCTCCCGCCCCATCGCCCGCCCGCTCGGGCAGACCCCGAGCAGGGCAATTCTCTTCATGCGGGAAAGTTTTCCTATCTCCCCTCCACTCCCTCCTCCTCCTCCTCCTCCTCCTCCTCCTCCTCCTCCTCCTCCTCCTCCCTTCCTCCTCCTCCTCCTCCTCCTCCTCCTCCTCCTCCTCCTCCTCCTCCTCCTCCCCATCCTCCTCCTCATGCTCCTGCTCCTCATGCTCCTCCTCCTCCTCCTCCTCCTCCTGCGCCTCCTCCTCCTCCTCCTCCTCCCCTGCCGACGGAATATCATCCTCCTCCTCCTCCTCCTCTTCCTCCTCCTCCTCCTCCTCCTCCTCCTCTTTTTATTTTCTTCTTATTATTATATTAGTATTAATATTATTCCTAGAAGTATTAGTACTACTATTATGAGTATTGTTAGTATTATTGCTAGTATTATTAATATTATTACTAGTATTAGTATTAGTATAAGTAGTAGTACCATTATGACTACTACTACTACCATTATTATTATTTGTATTATGTTTATGATTACTAGTGTTACTAATATTGTATGTATTAGTATCATTATTGTTTTAAAAAGAAAAAAGTAATAATAATAACAAATCATTATTCATAGTATCGTTATTATCATCATCATCATCATCATTATCACTAATGGTATGATCAGCAATGTTATTAGTAGTAGTTGTATTAATAGTACGATTATTATTATTGTTATTAGTAGTAGTAGTTGTTGTAATAGTGGTAGTAGTATTAGTACTATGGTTAGTGTTACTAGTATTAGTATTATTAATGTATTAATTTTAGTAGTAGTAGTAGTAGCGCTGTCATTTTTACTATTAGCATTAGTATTAGTAGTACGATTCATAATACTAATAACAATAATATTAGTGTTAGTAGTAGTAGCATTAGTATTATTATTGGCATTAATAGTATTAGAAAGATTATTATTACAATTACGATGGTTGTGATTATTACTAGTAGTAGTAGTATCAGCATTACCCTTATCACTATCATCATCATCATTATTAATAGTAGTAATAGTATAACTACGACAAACACTATTGTTATATTATTTTGTTATGTTTATTATTATTATTATGAGTGTGACTAGTATTAGTAGTAGTAGCATTATCAGTATTAGTAGTATGAATCATATTATTATGATTACTAGTATTGGTATTATTCCTCCTCCTCATCGGCCTCCTCCTCCTCCCCCTCCTCATCCTCCTCTTTCCCATGAGATTCGCATGTCCATATTCGTATTGATACGATTGCTCGTCTTCGCAGTGATCATATGAGTATTATGATGCAAAAGAAAAGTACGAGTGATAGCCAACTCGTGACTTGTAATACATACGAGGATGATGCGTAATGCTACTCCTGTTCGTAACATTCGTCCCGCGATTCTGTATCGCGAGTATACTCATACTATAACTCCGCGTACTCCTCTTACCCCTAGCACTGCAATATGTAGTCGTACTACTGATAATGATTGTGTGTGTTTCATAGAATTCCGCATCCTCCTCCTCCTCCTCCTCCTCCTCGTCCGCATCTCCTCGTCTCCATCCTCCCTCCACCATACCTCTCCCCGAATGTTGCCCAAGTCTGTCGCACCCCGCGCGGCGGAGCAAGGCGATGTCCTGACGGTGGGCGCGGCGGTGATTACGATCGCAGTTCGCGAGTTGCCCCCGAGGCAGTGCTGCAATACCTGACTCCGCTGTCAAATCTTCCCTTCCTCCCCCTTCTCCGTGTTTCTCTTCCTCCTTTTTCTTGTTCTTATTAGTTTTATGGTTAGTAGTAGCAGTAGTAGCAGTAGTAGTAGTAGTAGTAGTAGTAGTCTTATTAGAATTATTACTGATATTCGTATTAGTATTAGTATCAGTGTTAGTATTTGTATTAGTATTTGTATTAGTATTAGTATTAGTATTAGTATTAGTATTAGTATTAGTATTAGTATTAGTATTAGTATTAGTATTAGTATTAGTATTAATATTGTTATTAACATCATTAGTATTCTTGTCATCATCACCATTATTAGTAGTATTATTATTGATAATACTACTAATATTATGATTAGTGTCATTAGTGGTAAGATTATCAATATTATTAGTATTAGCAGTATTACTAGTAGTAGTACTACTATTATTATTACTGTTACTATTAGTATTATCATTAGTATTATTATTACTATGATTATTAATAGTAGCATTAATAGTATTAGCATTATTAGTATTAGTATTACTGTGATTCGTAATATTAATGGTATGATTATTATGATCATGATTGTTAATATTATTAGTATTATTATTCATAAGATTAGTATTATTATTGGTGTTATTAATATGAGTATTAATAGTATCAGTAGTCGTATCAGTATTAGCATTACAAGCATTAGTGATATCATTAGTATTGTTAGTATTAATTTTAGTAATGTTAGTATTAATAGTAGTAGTATTATTAGTAGTAGTAGCAGTAGTAGTACTAGCATTACTAGTGCTATTATTCGTATTGGTATTATTCGTAGTAGTAGTAGTAGTAGTAGTAGTAGTAGTAGTGGTAATAGTAATAGTAGTAGTATAATTACGAGTATTAGTATGATTCGTCGTAGTATTCGCATTAGAAATAATATTAGTAATAGTATTACGAATAGTGAAGAAGTGGTAGTAGTAGTAGTAGTAGTAGTAATCGTACTACTAGTAGTAGTAGTAGTAGTAGTAGTAGTAGTAGTAGTAGTGGTAGTAGTAGTAGTAGTAATAATAGTAGTATTCGTGTTCTTGGTAGCGCTAGTAGTATTCATCGTGTTATCATTCGTATTAGTGGTAGTGTAAGTTTCCGTTGTAGTTGTATCATTGTTCATATTTCAAGTATTGCTAGTAGTCTTATCATTGGTGGTCTTACTATTTTTAGTCTGAATAATAATGTTTGTCTTACTCGTGTTAGTGTTCGTCGTCTGCTTATTCTTAATAGTATTATTCAGATTCCTCCTCCTCCTCCGCCTCCTCCTCCTCCTCCTCCATTCCTCCCCTCCCCCTCCCCCTCCCCTCCCCCTCATCCTCCTCCTCCCCTCCTCCTCTCCTCCTGTTCCTCCTCCTCCTCCTCCTCATCTCATCATCATCATCCTTTTCCTTCTCCTCCTCCTCCTCCTCCTCCTCCTCCTCCTCCTCCTCCTCCTACTCCTCCTCATCCTCCCCCTCCTCCTCTTCTTCCTCCTCCTCCTGCCCTCCTCCTCCTCCTCCTCCTCCTCCTCCTCCTCCTCCTCCTCCTCCTCCCTCCTCCTCCTCCTCCTCCTCCTCCTCCTCCTCCCCTCCTCCTCCTCCTCCTCCTCCTCCTCTTCCTCCTCTCCTCCTCCTCCTCCTCCTCCTCCTCCTCCTCCTCCTCCTCCTCCTCCTCCTCCTCCTCCCCCTCCTCCTCCTCCTCCTCCTCCTCCTCCTCCTCCTCCTCCTCCTCCTTCCCTGATGTTTATTATTCCTCCTCCTCCTCCTCCTCCTCCTCCTCCTCCTCCTCTTCTTTTTCTTCTTCTTCTTCTTATTATTATTATTCTTCTTAGTATTCTTATTATTCTTCTTATGTTTCCTTCTCCTCCCCCTCCTCCTCCTCCTCCTCCTCCCCCTCCTCCTCCTCCTCATCATCATCATCACCATCATCATCACCATCATCATCATCCTCATCATCATCATCAGCATCATCATCATCAGCAGCATCATCATCGTCATCCTCTCGCCTGCACCCTTCTTCGCAATTACTTTATGTTCCTTCTTTTTCCTCCCGCGCCCACTCGTGGAGAGGGTAGGGCAAGGACAAAAGAAGCAGAGAAGGAAAAGGCGAGGGTGAGGTCAGGAGCAATGGGGGCTGGACAAATCATCCGGAGAAGGGAATCTGGGATGAGAATGGAGGAGGACGGGGTAAGAGCGGGAGGTGGAAAGGAGGGCACGCACGTCGCCTAGTCTGGCCAACCATTCAACCAAATCGCCATCATGCTCGTCATCCGACGGGGTCCCAATTCGGGGTCTGCATGACGACTGATGCCGAACAGTGGCTTAGGAGTTCGAAGCTTCGCACCTCGTCTCGAAATCCGTGAAGGAGTTCGGGAGGGAGCGGATACGCCATGATCTGGAAAGACAGAATGGCGATCTCGCATGAAGCTTAACGATCGGATTCCGAAGATCCGCCATGGTACGAGACTGGCAAGGTCGAAAATCCGCCGGCCCCCTTGCGGGGCCATCAGGTCCCGCGGATCAGGTTTGCTGCTTCCTGCTTCAGTTCCAGTTTCCAGTCTCCGATGTTACAATTCTGCGTTCTGCTTCCTGCTGTGAATTGTCGAAGTCCGCGCGAGGGGGGAGCCGAAAAAGGGCCCTGGTTACCTTCACCTGGGGGAGGTTTCAGAATTGTTGGGGGGCCCGGGGACATGTAAAATTATCCTGGCGAAGGACCCATCCGCATGCAGTTGTGAGTACCGCAATTGTGTATATTTTCTTCGGCGGCGCTCCCTATGGGGCCACGAACCGCACGAAGGTGTGCCGAATTGTGCGCCGTGGCCTCTGGGGCTTCCCTGGAGACCCCGACGGCAGCGCCCGCGCGCCGCGACGCCCATGTCGGCACGCCCCACGCGAGGATCGCGCCCGCTTCCCACCCTCCTTTTTCCTTTTCCTTTGCCCGCGCACTCCAAAGTCCAAGGCTGCGGGCGCAGCGCCAGGCGGAGCCCTCGCGACGCGCGCAGGTCGCCCCGATGGGGTCACAGTGACGCGCACGGTTCGCACGCTGCGCGGAACAGAGATTGCTTGCTGGCTAACTGCTAGCGCGCATGGCTCCAGCCGCCGGTCGGAGCGACGACGGGCGAGCGAGGCGCTGGACAAGAGCAGCGCGGAGTTCGCGCGACGCGCGCTGATCGCCCCGAGAGGGCCCCAGCGACGCGCGCAGGGCGTCCGCGGCGCGAGGCCAAACAGTTGGACAGCCGAGAGAAGGCGCGGCTGTGGCGGGCCGCTCCCAGGTCAGGCCTCGCGGATAAACTCTGTGAAACCAAGCTCACTGGCGAGGGCCGTGGCTTCCCTCCTGCACCGCTTCGTGCGCGCCGCAAACTGCTCCAGTTGCTTACGCAAGCCCTCCGACGGCCCGGCCAGGAAGAACTCGATGCGCGGCGCCCGCATGGGCAGGAGGTCCTCGTGGCGCATGGCGCGCGAGAGCAGCACGTAGAGCTCCAGCCACCAGTCGTCGTCCTCCTTCTTGCCGTTCCCGACCTCGTGGCGGCCGCAGTCCAGGATCACGCCTGGGCGACGTCGGCCGAGGGAGCATTGCGCCGGGCAGCCGACGGCCCAGGGCGAGAGTCCACAGGACAGAAGGATGGCTGCGGACTGCTCGCGCCCCGGAGGTCTGGCCGTTCCCGGGGCGCCGTTCCCCCGCCCCGTCGCCCTCTCGCATGGTGCGCCCCTGGCACGCCACCGGACATGTGAGGTTTTGCGCGAAGCTGGGAGACGGCCGGGGCGACGCTGACTGAGTTCCCCCCAATGGCCGCCTCATGGATCGCTGCTGGCTGAGACCGTCGTGGCGACGACGGGCCTCCGAAGGCCAGAAAGCTTCGAGCCTCGATCCTCCAGGTTCGCACTTCAAACCTCGACGTGAACCTTCAAAAATGCCGAAGCACCCCCGTTAGCCTTTCCAAACGAGAACGCCTTCGGTGGAGCCTCTATGGGGCCACGAAACGTGTGAAGGGTGTGCCGAACTCGGTGTGCGGGACGCATGCGGGCACACCCACTGGGACCTTCGGTGGAGCTCCCTATGGGGCCACGAAACGCGTGAAGGGTGTGCCGAAATGGGTGTGCGGGACGCATGCGGGCACACCCACTGGGACCTTCGGTGGAGCTCCCTATGGGGCCAAAAAGCGTGTGAAGGGTGTGCCGAGATGGGTGTGCGGGACGCATGCGGGCACACCCACTGGGACCTTCGGAGGAGCTCCCTATGGGGCCACGAAACGTGTGAGGGGTGTGCCGACATGGGTGTGCGGGACGCATGCGGGCACACCCACTGGGACCTTCGGTGGAGCTCCCTATGGGGCCACGAAGCGTGTGAGGGTGTGCCGAAATGGGTGTGCGGGGCGCATGCGGGCACACACACACACACACTGGGACCCTTCGGTGGAGCTCCCAATGGGGCCACGAAACGTGTGAGGGGTGTGCCGACATGGGCGTGCCGGACGCATGCGGGCACACCCACTGGGACCTTCGGTGGAGCTCCCTATGGGGCCACGAAACGTGTGAGGGGTGTGCCGAAATGGGTGTGCGGGACGCAAGCGGGCACACACACTGGGACCTTCGGTGGAGCTCCCATGGGGCCACGAAACGTGTGAGGGGTGTGCCGAAATGGGTGTGCGGGACGCAAGCGGGCACACCCACTGGGACCTTCGGTGGAGCTCCCTATGGGGCCACGAAACGTGTGAGGGGTGTGCCGAATGGGTGTGCGGGACGCAAGCGGGCACACCCACTGGGACCTTCGGTGGAGCTCCCTATGGGGCCACGAAACGTGTGAGGGTGTGCCGAAATGGGTGTGCGGGACGCAAGCGGGCACACCCACTGGGACCTTCGGTGGAGCTCCCTATGGGGCACGAAACGTGTGAAGGGTGTGCCGAGATGGGTGTGCGGGGACGCATGCGGGCACACCCACTGGGACCTTCGGTGGAGCTCCCTATGGGGCCAAAAAACGTGTCAAGGGTGTGCCGAACTCGGTGTGCGGGACGCATGCGGGCACACCCACTGGGACCTTCGGTGGAGCTCCCTATGGGGCCACGAAACTTGTGAGGTGCAACAAAATGCGTGTGCGGGGCGCATGCGGGCACACCCACTGGGACCTTCGGTGGAGCTCCCTATGGGGCCACGAACCGTGTGAGGGGTGTGCCGAAATGGGTGTGCGGGACGCATGCGGGCACACCAACTGGGGCCTTCGGTGGAGCCCCCTTATGGGGCCACGAAACTTGTGAGGGGTGTGCCGAAATGGGTGTGCGGGACGCATGCGGGCACACCCACTGGGACCTTCGGCGGAGCTCCGAATGGGGCCACGAAACGTGTGAAGGGTGTACCGACATGGGTGTGCCGGACGCATGCGGGCACACCCACTGGGACCTTCGGAAGAGCTCCGTATGGGGCCACGAAGCGTGTGAGGGGTGTGCCGAAATGGATGTGCGGGGCGCATGCGGGCACACACACACACTGGGACCTTCGGTGGAGCTCCCAATGGGGCCACGAAACGTGTGAAGGGTGTGCCGAGATGGGTGTGCGGGGACGCATGCGGGCACACCCACTGGGACCTTCGGTGGAGCTCCCTATGGGGCCACGAAGCGTGTGAGGGTGTGCCGAAATGGGTGTGCGGGGCGCATGCGGGCACACCCACTGGGACCTTCGGTGGAGCTCCCAATGGGGCCACGAAACGTGTGAGGGGTGATGGTGATGATGCTGATGCTGATGCTGATGCTGATGATCATGATGATGATGATGATGATGATGATGATGATGATGATGATGATGATGGTGATGATGATGATGATGATGATTCTGATTATGATGATGATGATGATGATGATGATGATGATGATGATGATGATGATGATGATGATGATGATGATGATGACGTCGATGATGACGATGATGGTGATGATTGTCGTGAGGATTATGACGATGATGGTGATGACGGTGATGATGACGACGATGATGATGATGACGATGATGATGGTGGGAGGAGGGAGGAGGGAGGAGGGGGAGGAGGAGAGGAGGAGAGGAGAACGCGGGGCGACGTCTCTTCAAAACGAGGACCCAACACCACAGGATGGTTGGAAAAAACTTGATAATGCTCGCGCCCCCGAAGCCAGAATCTCTCGTAGAGTACGTCATGCTCGCGCCCCCCAAGGCTACAATCCTTGACCAATACTCGATAAATCGCGCCCGCGAGGCGCCACAGAACCTCGCACATGGCGCTGCGCTGCCGCTCCCGACGCCATACTGCCGCGCAGACTCTGCAAGGTTCGCGTCTCCGAGGCAGGGCTCTCTCTCGTAGATAATGCAGTGCGCACCTGGATACTCCAGATTTCGTAATCAAAGGGAGGGGGTCTGGACCCTCCAAGACAAGCCACTTCGGACCTCCCCCGTGGGAGAACCCTCCAGAACATCGTCCCCGGACCCCCCAGGCCCTCCAAGATAGCCTGGAAGAGACCCCCCCCGAAATGAAACCCCCCTCCCTTTATTACGAAATCTGGAGTATCTAAAGTGGCCCCCGTTCGGAGTTCCGACGCTGGTTCACGACGGCGCTCAGGCCTCACAACACAGCTCCCGCCCGAAAAAAAACTATTCTCCGAGGGGGCCGGCGGCAGGGGGCGAAGCCCTTGAGGATATGTGTGCTTGGAGGGGCAGCCTGCCCGATACCGACCACGTCGGCGAACAGACACTTCTGCACAAGAACAGACCACTAATGGCGGCGATATGCCCGGCCGCCTGTGCAGCACACGTCTGGCGGAGAAAGCATTGAGAAAGGCCGTACGTAAGATAACACAGTCCATCACATTCTTAGAACTAGAGAGCTAGCAAGACAGAGAGATAGAGAGAACCAGCAAAACGAGAGAGAAAGCGAGAGCGACAGAGAGAGAGAGAGGGCGAGCTCTTGGTAAGAGATAGAGAGATCGACACAGAGAGAGAGAGAGAGCGAGGGAGAAGAAAAGGAACCAGCGAGATATCGAAAGCGTGGAAGAGAGAGAGAGAGAGAGAGACCAGGTGACGGATGCAGGAGGGGGGAGTAGTTGGACACCCCTGCCTGGGTCAACTTGGAATCGCGGTAAGGCACGTGGTAGCGCTGCCTGGCGAGCGCGGATACGACCTGCGGAATCTGTCAATATAGCCGTTCCTCTATCCATGCATTCTCTCCCATCTCACTCTCTCCCTCTCTCTCTCGCTCTCTCTCTCTCTCTCTGTCTCGCTCTCTCGCTCTCGCTCTCTCGCTCTCTCTCTCTCTCTCTCTCTCTCTCTCTATCTCTCTATCTCTCTTTCTCTTTTTCTCTCTTCCCCTGTCTCTCTCTCTAGTCTCGCCTCGAGTTCCCCCCGGGAACGAGAGCAGCCCTAGACGCAAAGCCGCCCGCGCTCCTCCCCCAGCCCGGCGAGACCGTGCCTGTGCCAGCAGCACAGAACCGATTTGCGCCACCCACCTTCAATAAGGTTCGCAACCATGGCGCCCAAACGTCAGGGCCGCGTTCCCCGTCATCCCTCCAAGCCGCCTAGGGCGAAAGCCAGAGGACGCCGAGCCCCCCGGCCCGAAAGTGTTCTCGCATGCAGGGATGGCCTGCACCGCAACGCTCCAGAGCCGCCGTGGTGTAGACCGTGCTACTCAGGCCTACAATGATAGGGCCCACAAGCACAGCAACGCTCTTGGCCTAAACTACCAGCAGCACCGCGCAAATGTCCATAATCTCTGTGCGGCGCTCATGAACCTTTGTGTCCGCCGCCACGTCAGCGTCACGAGCGTTCAGCATGAGCATTCCAGAAAACGGCACAACGCGAGGCATCACGGCCCGACGCAATAGCGTCTCCAGGCCAAGCTGTTATCAACAGGATCCAGGCAAACAGGTCTGCGGCCTTGATGACAGCAACTGGACGGTGCCCGTTACCCTTGTGCCTAACAGGGCCGCAGACGGTGCACACTACGAAAGTAGCAGTTCCCTTCGCTCCCTGGAAGCGGCGCAACACTTCTCCAACGCACGCAAGACGCCCCGTTGGCCATCGCAGCCATCGAGCCAAAGGACCACCACTACGCTGGCATCGAACTGACCATCCCTGTCTTGAAACAGGGGCACAGAGCCGCGAGGCCCCCTCCAGGGCACAGTCACGGAACACTATACCACTCTTGCCGCACCGAGTTTGTCTGCACACAGAACGTGGCCCAGGTCTAGCTGGACCCTGGGACAGCGTCACGCGGGTACGCGCAACAATCCACGAGGCCTAAGCGGTTGCTGAGGTACCAGCAGTCCAGGACCTCTTCACGGCCCAGTTCTCGGGCTCTGACGCCATCGGGAGCAAGCGCCAACCTCGGGCGGACGGAGTTGACGTGCAGGCCGCAGCACGAACGCGCCACGTGGTCAACCAGACAAGCGAGACCAAGGTTGCGCTCGGATATGACCTCGTGAACGCTTACAAGATGGCCTTCCAAAACCATTTCCGCACGGTTACCGCTGAGGAGCCGTGCAGGAGCGTCCGACGCTATGGTAGTGTGGCGGGCAAATGCCGCCTCTCCGCCATGTTTGGCATCATCATGTCTGACGTTGATGTGATCCTGGTGGCCTCTGGTACAAGCAGTAACACCGCGACACAGTCTGATGAGTACATCGACCTCTCTCCAAGAGACCCACCAGACCGGCGTCAAAGGTGCCAAGTCGACTGGCATCAGCGAGCGGCGAAACACCGAGGCGGCAAAGCAAGTCGCCACCAACCTCCGTGGTACCGACGCGGCCCTCGCCACCGACAAATACCGCGTCACGGGTATGGCGTCCCAATGTGCCACCAAGGCACGTCATCGCGGTTCTCAAGGCCACCCAATGGCACTGCGATGTCTTCCACGCGGGCTGGGACTGTGACACCCAAGGCGACTTCGCCATGGCTAAGGCGGCTAAGCCGCCAACGAAATCGGCCATCCAGGTCGCGGGGCATTAAGCCCCCTGGGTCGTCACGCCGGCTGAATCCACCAAGGCGGCCCATCCAGCGGCAACAGCCACAATTGTCGCGCCTGGCGGCATCGCGACCGCCACCCCGAATAAGGCTGCCTCCCAGCAAGCTTCCCAAGGGCAGACATCCCTCGCCGTCTCGACTCAGGAGACAGCCGCAAGTTGCTCACCCACATTGGACCTGAGTCTGCCAGCCCGCCGTCCCCCGCGCTCGAACAGCAAGCTAAGCGAGCGCGGGGCCGATCCAACAGCCTGAGGCCTTCCAGCCGAGACGGTAGATCTGCACCGCCTGGCGGGGCTCTGGTAGAGCCGCAAGGCCCGGCAACTGCCAGACCAGGCGCCCCCTTCGCAAACCCACAGGACATGCCCGTCACCGTCGCCACAGAAGAGGGGTACCAGCCACTGGTGGGCACTCAAGTCGAGGGCGCGCCGACGCCACCGGGTAGCGATGGAGTAATGCACAACGACTACTCTGATGACTCAAAAGGAGTCCCACGACTCCGTCGACACCCGCGCTGCACACGGGATGCCAGACGAGGCTGCCACACGCTTTCACCGTAACGGGGCAGACAGCAGGCGCCTCGAAACCTGCCTCGGACAGTTAGAGGTTGCGGCCTCCACGGTGGTCAGCAGCCAAACCACTATCTCATACCGATGCGTCCAGCTAAAGTCGGCGGTGGACAAACCTCCCTTTAGTAAACCACCCTTGAGTGAAAACGGCCTAGGACCGAAACCGACGGACCTGGACCCGCAAAAATGACGGCCGCGACGCCCTCTCGCGAACCGAAGACGGCCAAGTCGCTGATCCACGTGTCAGGGCAGGAGGTCGATCAACCTCCGAGAAAGGCAGGGCTGTCCACCTTGGCACTGACGACCGCCCCGTGCTCCAACAGATGGCCCCCCTCCAAACCATGGCGCAACAGCCCCCACAGGCCGCCCAGCAGGGCAGAGGAGCGACAGCGGGGCCCCGTCGGCCCCCCGGCGGGCAGTGGCCCGCCACAGGCCCCTCTTCACGCGACCGCGCAAGGGGCTACCATTAAGTCGGGCGTGTCCCCCTACAGGGGGATTTTCGACGAAAAATAAAAAGTACCCAAAACATACTCCAAGCTGGCCAAAAACTATACATAGGCCACAGACTAGTCTTTACTATTTTTGAATATTCCCCCTGAAGAGGGACAGGCCCGACTGAAGGCTACCACGACTGGAATCTAGGCGAGCCCAACGGGCTTCACCGCAGCCCTCTGCCTGGATAAAGGGATGCCCCTGAAGGCCGAGCGCAACAGCGCGCGAACCCGGTGTCACAGGCCCCATATGGAGGGTGCCTCCATGGGAGCCCCATCGGCCCCTCGAGGAAGTTGCGCAAGCGGGTAACACCTCACAGCTCCCCCCCCTCTCCCGCTCCTGCGTCGAGCTAGCAGTCTGCATGTGTCGGGTCGGGCGAAAGGGGGGGATAGCAAAGGGGGGGGTTGAGAATCAGCTCACGTAGCTGATTTTCCCGGCGCCTCCCAGCGCCGGAGGCGTCTATGTATCGAGGAATGGGCCCCTCGGTGAGGCCGAAAACAGCTGCATGCAGCAAATTTCGTAACCCCCCCTTTCCCAATCCCCCCCTTTCGCCCGGCCCGAATGTGCACCGCGCGGTGCGCTGTGCAGTTTGGGCACGTGCCTGCGCGGCGTGCGCCCGACATGGGGGCACGCTGTGCCCCTGCTGGTCTCCTGCCGCTGCACGCTGGCCACTGCCCTGGGAAGCAGAGAGCGGCAGCAGCCACGGGAGAGCACCGCCCGCGGCGGAAAGGGCGCGCGGCGCGGACGGGCTGGCACCCCCGCCACGCGAGGGCGCCCGCTGGCCCACGGGGGCTCGGGGCTGCCCGAGCAGCCGGCTGCGGGACGTGCGACGACCCTGCTGCACCGACCGTGCTGCGATGAGCAAGGCAGGGAGGACGCGCGGCCTCGAGACCCCGCCCGTCTCCGATAGGACCCCCTGCCCGCGAGAGCGCACCCCCCTGTCGAGCGCCCCCCCCCCCCCACACGCCCGCGGAAGAAGGGGGAGGGCGCGCACACGGGCGGGCGCCTTCGCGCCGGGAGGGCGCCCACCGGTCGACGAAGTGTCGGGGCCGCCCTGAGGTGCGCGAGCAGACAGAAACAGAGCTGATTTGCTGGGGTCGCGCGACGACCCTGCAGTCTCGACCGCGCGACGACCAGACGGAAGAGCGGGGGCCGGCGCGGCCCCGAAGCACTGCCCGCCCCGATAGGCCCCATCCCTTTCGCGAGGGCCCACCCGTCGAGGGCCGCCCCCCGCCCGCGGCGGGGGGGGGAGAGCGCGCGGACGGGCGGGCGCCGTCGCGGCGGCCACTTGTCGACGGGGCTTCGGGACTAAAGGCCACCCCGCGGGCGCGCCCCCTCGCGGGCCCCCGCAAGGCTGAGGAACAGAGCGCGAGTGGGTTTTCTGCTGCGCGCGGTCCGCCTGCCCCCACGCACGAGGCGACCGCCGCCCTCGACGCGCCCCTCGTAGCGGCCGTCTCACGCGTTTTCCTGCCGGTGAGGCCCCCGTCCCGAAAGGTCGCACGGATGGCCCGTCTGGCTGCCTGGCGGCCAGTCTCTCTGAGCGATGGCGGCGCTCTGGCCTGACCTGCCGTCTGGGGCGCCGCCACGCCATTGCCCGAACACCTCGTCGGTCCCCACCGATCTCCGGATCCGAAACCACAAACAGCCACGTACGCGCACACGCGAAGAGCCGCGAACAGAAAAGAACGGCTACGAACAGCCACGCACAGACACAAACAGCCACGAGCAGCTTCGGAGGGCCCCGAACAGCCGCGAACAGCCAGACAGAAACGCTGGACGTCGAGCACGCGCCACAGGGGCGTGAGGCCAAGGGGGTGAGCTTGAGCTTCGGGTCCAGAGGCGCACCCAAAAATAGACAATAAATGCTAGGGCGATCGGGGAGGCGACAGCCCCTGGAGAACTGATGCGGCGCGGCCGCACATACATACAGCCGGCCTCCTCCCCGCGACCCCAGACTCATCCTGACCGTATCCGAAGACCTGGCTGACCTCACGGCTACAGTAACTCACATGCTCCACTTCTCTCCACAGCTCGCCCAGGAGCTGTGTCTGGATGGGCTACAGTAACTCACATGCTCCACGTCTCTCCACAGTTCGCCTGGGAGCTGTGTCTGGATGGGCTACAGTAACTCACATGCTCCACGTCTCCCCACAACTCGCCCGGGAGCTGTGTCTGGATGGGCTGGAGTGGATGCGCGGAGGGTCAAGGATTGATACAGGATCGTGCAAGGCTAAAGTCGCTAGTGACCCTGGCGTTCAAGACGCAATGTTGTGGCAATGCAATGTATCGCAATGGCGGGTTCTACTTGCCCAAACCTCTCCTGCCGAATTTCATCGCATGGCAGCAGACTGAGGGCCAAGCACCAGACCTCAGAGCTGAAGGACCCTGTCGGCCGAACCGAGCTAAGAACAACAAGTGCATTTGATCCACGTTGTTTGTTGGCACTGCGTGCCGAGAGCACGTTCCGCTTTGCTGTACGCGCTCGCGTCACAAGTGCGACGCGCCCGCGAACCTTCGCCCGACACCCCCCTCGCGGGCGCAATCAGTTCACGCGGCGGCCCACCGAGCAGCATTGAAATGCTCAGAAAGCCGCCATCAAACCTACCAGCGTGCAAGTTGCAAGAGAAAACTATGGCGCGCAGGTTCGGACGAACGATGACCTGCTCGTTCCGTGGAAGTCACGCGCGTCGGAAAACTCACGGTGCATCGCCCGGTCACACGGTGGCCAAACGCCGGATCGACGCGGACCAAAGGAGAGCAGAAAGTTCAAGGCGGGGCGACCTCCCACAACGTGCGCGGCAAGGCGTCGAAATTGCCGCGGTAAAATTGGCGGCGGCGCCACGTCAGCTAACAACGCAAAAAACGGCCCAACACAATCATGGCAGGAACACAACGACGAACAGCACTCGCAAACACGCTCAAACGGGCGGCATCACTTGAGCCCGCCACTTTGAAAACCTGCGCACTCTTCTGTCCTGAAGGAGCACCCTCATTTTCAAAACTAGTATTGCTACATAGCGCGCGACTAAGGGATCCCACGGGCCTAGGTGGTGACTCTGGCCTCCCTGAGCGCGCAGGCATGGCCGGCGCCAGGGGGAATACTTTCATCGCATCCGCCACGGCGCGGCGTCGAGGGCGCGGGCCCGAGTGCTGCGCCCCACCGCTGTTCAGAAACAGCCGAGCGCCTGAGCCCAGATGACCACAGACGCCGGACAAGAAAGAAGATACGCATTCGCGCTGGCACACGGGGGCGAGGGATCCTCGAGCCTCACGCCTCCACGGCCGTCCTGCCCACCTCCTCTCCCTCGCATTCCTCCTGCGCCGCCGAGCGCCGGGCCTTCCCCAGGGCCAGCAGGCTCTTGTTGATCTGCCTCGCCTCGGCAAGCCGCTCCCCGGCTGCACCGCTCCTCCCCAGGCGGCGCGGAGGTATCCAGGAAGAGGTGGCGAGGCGACGCGAGGAAGACGGGGTGAAGGTCAGCTGCGGCGCTGGCCAGAGCTCACGATCGGCGTCACCTCCCTCGTGGCCGTCGGGGCGCTCCCGTGTATGCGGATCCTCTAGGCCCTGGCTGGCAGACCCCCCCTTCGAAATGGCTTCTGCCTGAGACAGCGGGCCACCACGGGAAGAGCCGCCCTGTTTGGAGGCCGGGGTGCTCCGGGAGTCCCCTCGGCCGCACACGACGTACCAAAGTGGTATCTGAGATAGTCGAAAATCGTCCGACCTGTTAGCGATGCTGGTGTTGCACATCTGTATATGTATATATATATATATAGCTGGATCAATATACATATACGCACACACATACCCATATTATGCACATGCACGTACAAATGCAGATCCATACACGTACACGTGTACGTAAGCATCAAGACGCACGCGTGTGCATGACAGCACGTCCAACATTGGTGCACCAAGGAGAGCGATCATGGATGCATGCGCCCATACAGACAGACATAAACGCAGACAGGTGCGAAGCGCAGTTTAGGAGTCATCACTTGCATTGGCTGTTTTTGGGAGCTATGCCGACGAGCACCTGCGCGCAGCAGAACCGCGACAGGCCTCTGCAGGTGGCGGCGCGCGTGCCCGCCCTCCCTAAAGTCATGTGGATACAAGCCTGAGCTGGAGATACAACCTAGGCATGCACCGCAATACTAACTAAACAGAAGCTGAATTAACATCTTAGGTGGCACTTACATTTCAATCGAAATATAGATGTCCACATGGAAGCGTAAATCTAAATTTGAATTTACACATTAATCCAAGTTTACATACACATGTAAACCCACGTTTGAGCTTGGCCTTCAAGCCTGAGCTGGAGGTACAACCTCGGCGTGCACCGCAATGCAAAGTAAACACAAGCTGAATATACACCGAAATGCCATGCGAATTGAAACTTAAATTCAAAAAGCACATCTTAACTTAAATCTAAATTTGAATTTAAATGTTGAATTGAGGTGCGAACGTCAAACTGGAGCTGGAGGCACAACCTCGCTATGCCCTGCAAAGCAAAAGAACTCGAGACACAACAACTTGAATCGAGACTGAGCGTCAAAGCGGAGCTGGAAGCACAACCGGGGTCAAACGAAAGGGGATAAACGAAATGAACAAAGGGGCAACTGGGGACAGACAAAGAACCAAATTGGAAGAAACGCACAGGAATCCCCTTTCAGGGGGACAAGCAAAAGGGAAAGACGGGGCCATATAAAGAAGATACAAAAAAAAACAAGGGACAAACAAAAGGAGAGGACGCAAAAAGGAACAAAACGGGACAGAAAGGTGACAAAAACGAAAAATAGTGACAACAGGGACAAAAAGAGAACACAAAGGGGATAAGCACAGAAACTAAACAGAGGGGACTTGGAGACACACAAAGAGGACAACGACCACAAACAAAAG